TCGGCGATCGCCGTAAGTTCCCGATCGTACACGCTGTAGTTCTGTTGCGCCGAATTTAATTTGCGCGAAAAGAATGCGAGCGGTTTCCACGAGTCGTCTAAACGTTGTTCGAGGGCGGCCCCGATGACGAAATCTGACGCGTCACAAACGAGGCGCGTTTCGGCTGCGTCGGAGAGGTAAGAAAGTATAGTCGCGTTGGCCACTCTCCTTGCACTTATTAAACGCTTCTTCAACCATCGGCGTCCATATGATTAGCTGTTTGTCGTTTTTGCATAAATCGCGAAGGTACTCATTTAATGGTGCCTGAACGATAGCTGCATTATGCAGTAATTTACGATAAAAGTTGACAAGCCCAAGAAAACGACGCAATTCGACTATAGTGTTAGGCCTTGGAAACTCGCGAATAGCTTGAATCTTATCGAGTGTTGGTTTCCACCCTTCGTTGTTAATCGTAAAGCCGAGGAATTCTAATTCTTGCTTGCCGAACTCGCATTTATCTACATTGAGTCATAAATAAAACTTTTCTAATCGCTGTAACACTATGCGTAAGTGAGCTTCGTGCTCTTCAAGAGCCGTCGACGCTATGAGTATGTCGTCGATGAATGCAAGCACAAATTCCAGGTCGCCTAGAGCGCGGAAGATTTGACGCTGAAATGTTTGACTCGCATTTCTAAGACCGTATGTCATGAATTTATATTCGAACAGCCCGAAGGGCGTGACACCAGCCGTTTTCGGAATATCTTCCGGCGCCACTGGAATTTGATTGTATGCCTGATGCAAATCTAGCTTAGAGAAAATGACTTTTCCACGCATGTTGGAAGAGCAATCGTGCAAATGCGGTACGGGAAATTTATCCAGCACGGTAATTGTGTTAAGACAACGGTAATCGTCGCCGATCCTGATTCGTCTTTTTTTGGTACCATGTGAATGGGACTTGCCCATGGACTACTGGGCGGACGGCAAATACCGGCGGGCCCGTGGTAATGATATGATGACGAATATCGCTACTGCAATTCGGAGTTGCTTGTTCTAAACCGGTGACTTTCGGAAATTCAGATAAGATGCTCGCGAATTTCGTACTGGGTTTGACCGTGCTAATGGCAAGCTGTGGCACCGATTTGACAATGCCCAACACGCACACATTATTTTGTGAATCGATGAGTCTACAACCTTTAAGGTCCGGAAGGAGACCGTAATGTGCAATCAGGTCGGCCCCAAAAATCGGGTACGGAACTGATGCTACGCAGAAACTCCATGTGATCGGGCGTATCCCTAAATGTAGCGTTCGGAACGACTCCCCATACGTATATATACGCGTATTGTTTGCCGCGTAAAGTTTAAAACTGGTCGGAATTTTGTTCTTCGCGTAAGTGCTGGGAAGCAGCGAAATTTCCGCTCCCGTATCTACAAGGAATAACTCTCTGGTAACTCGATCGCGGATGTGGAGACGGACAGAAGAATAGACGCCCGCCATACCTGTCTCCTCGGTGGCAGACGATTCTATTCCCCCGCCTCTCCGTCTGTTAAAGCCTTGGGTTTCGGCCAATCACACGAGGATTTGTCGGTTCCCTTACAAACTCGGCCCCGAAAGTGCGGCCAGCAGACACGAGAGCTTCTGCTTTTGGAACGCTTACGATTATTATTTGCCTTGTCTCTCGTCTGAGATCTGCTGTACCGCTTGACCTCAGCCGCGAGGGTGGCCATATTGACGGCCAGATCTTAGTTTCTAAGTCGGACGGCTTAGACTCTGACGATGATGCGGCGGCACACTGCGCATAATCACCCACGGTCTCAACTATTTTATCCGCCATTTTGGCTAACTTGTCTAGATCCGTGCTTTCGGTAGTCACAAGAATGCTTCTAATGTGCGATGATAAGTGTTCAAAGAACACAATTTTTATTACGGCGTCGTCACATCGTTTGTCAGAGTTCAAGTTACGAAGTCGACTGAGGATCTGCGACGGTTTCCCTGACGTGAGCACTTGGCCTTTTATTAGTTGTCGCAGTTGACTTTCTGCTGACGCTGAAAAATTTTCAATAATACGCTGCTTTAATTTGGTGTATGGTTCGTTCACATCGGGCTCCGCGATGAGATCTCTGCAGCACGCGATGGCTTCTGGGTCCAAAGACATAATCACGTAATGCGCTCTAGTCTTTTGCTCTGTGATTCGTGCGGTTTCGAATGTGGCTTCGACTTGAATGAACTATATCACCGGATCTTTGATTAAGAACGGCGGAATTTTTGGAACCCTATATGAATCCACGCGCACGACATTGCTCTGCTGAGGCGCCGCTTGCAGGTGCGCCACCAGCGCTTGCAATTCCTCATAGGTAGGAGGAGGCATGACTACCGTATCGAAGCTCGCGAACAATCCGTATTTCATGACGGCCTTAAATACCAACCGCTTACGCGCACGTTATGTAAAACGTCGATCGCTTAATACTAATCTATCAAAAATGGTGAAATCATTAATTAATGTTCACGCGTTAACCTCGCGGAGAAAACGCGGAGGGTCTATTTTTCTGTTGTGCCGGGTTACGCGCGCTAAAAACTAACGCACTGCGCACGCAACTTGCCCGACTACAATGGCGGCGATGACGCGCTCGCTGGATATAATGGCGGCGATGTCGTCCTTCACAGGTCACAATTGCGACGATGTCGTTCTTCACAGGTCACAATGGCGGCGACGGCGTCCTGAACGCCGGCTCCTGGGCTGGCCCGTTCTCACGTCCGGTTCTCACGGAGGCGGCACGCTGCGCGCCTGTCGTTGGATATGTCCCTGCGGTGCTTCCGACGGCGAGACTTTCCGCCGGCCCCTCAGCGATGGGGCCTTGCGACCAGCCACGGCGTCGGCGATGAGCCTCTTTGTCGGCTACGACGTCGGCGATGTGCACTGCTGCTCGGTTCGAAACCAGTTCGTTTCGATGTTGCTCAAACGACGGTTATCGATCAATCGCTTCTTCCTCTCGATCACGTCGGGGTCACCAATGTGGGAATATGTGACTCGATTGATGAGTCAAATTCTCAAGACAAGCTCATGCTTGTCGTGTGATGTGATATAAGAAGTAATGATTGACACTTTCTTGTAACTGGTAACTATAAATCTTTATTACTCGAGCTCAATGAATATGACCGTACAGGACGAGCGCCATAATCTATCTAATCTTATCTTTTTCTCTGACGCTGCTTGTAGGCAACTCGCAACCTACAAAATCCCTAGGTTTTCTACACTCGCTGCGCTAGTGAAATATTGAGAATGTAGTTCCCTACAATGTCACATTACTTTTTGACAAGTAGCATCTTTCAGCTGATTACTGTCAAATTTTGAACGGAATTCATCGCTGGTTTCATTTCTGTAGATGATTAAAGCGAACAATCTTTGTATTTTTTGTAAATGGAATAAAACGAGTTTTGTACAGTGATCAAATATCCACATATGAAAGATTTAACGCCGAAAGAAATCAAAACTGAATTGGATAATGTTCATAACACATCTGCACCAGCATTTGCGATTGTATACAATTGGGTGAATGAATTTAAACCTGGTCGTACATTCACATGTGATGCACCTCGGGACGTCCAATTGAGGCTGCTACGTCAGAAATCATCGATAAAGTCCATGATATTGTTTTGACTGACGAGTGAAAGTGCGCAAGTTTGTTGAGGTCACAGGCATATCACAGTGATTTCAATTTTACACGAACAATTGGGTATGAAAAAGCTATCGGCAAGATGGGGTGCCGCGTTTGCTCACTATGGACCATAAGCGCGACTGTGTGACGATTTCAAAACAATATTTGGAGATGTTTCAATGTAATCCATATGAATTTCTGCGTCGATTCATTACTGTGGACGAAACATGGATCCATTACTTCACACCCGAAACGAAGGAACAGTCAAAACAATGAACTTCACCGAGTGAACCAGCTCCGAAAAAGGCGAAGATCGTGAAGTCGGCTGGAAAGGTGATGGCCACAGTTTTTTGGAATGCACGCGGTATAATTCATATCGATTATCTTCCATCGACGCAAATGGCGATCAATGACGATTACTTACGCAGCCTTATTCGACCGTTTCAACAACATTTTATAGAAAAACGTCCCCATTTGGCGAAGAAGAAAGTGCTCTTTCATCAAAACAATGCACGGATTCACACTTGCCCGGCACGGATGGCCAAATTCAACGAATTCCGCTACGAATTGCTTTCCCATCCAGATTTAGCCTTCTGCGACTATTTCCTGTTTCCAAACCTGAAGAAATAATTCGGAGGAAAAAGATTCACCAGAGAGCAGCTCATCGCCGAAACAAAGGCTTATTTTGAAGGATTGGGAAATCATCAAACAAATCATATTATTCGGACGGCTTGAAAAAGTTGAAGAATCGTTGGATCAACTGTATTGAGCTGAAAGGAGACTATGTTGAGAAATAAAAATGAATCGGTCAAAAAAAATGTGTTTTACTACGTTTTTCTAAAAATTGATTTGCCCTCGTAAAAGATGATGTTTTAGTTTCAACGTATCATTAAATAAATTCATATATAATTTATGATATATACCAATTAGTTTTTTCAATAAAGTAATGTTATCATGTTATTATTTCTTGTGCCATTGTAATAGATATCATTTTTTAAAAAATTATATATAATTGCCAAGTTTCATTTTTTTTCGGAACAAGATCACTAATTATTAAACCCAAATATTGTACGAAACCCATCATTTAGGATGCTGAATAAATAATATACTTTTTAGAATTTATATTAGGTGT